CACAATCTTGTGTAAAGCATATAAAAGCAAGGTATATAAAGCTTCTTATATAAAAGAAGTTTACTCACACGTTCAGTTCACAGTTGGATCCCTGAAGGCATATTTAGTTACAAAGTATATACAGTACATGTGGATCTATCCCATATGGGGATAATCCCAGTGTCCTCTGTTGCTCTTGCTAAAAAGCTGCTCCAACGACGAAGGAAGTCAAAGAGAGGGGTGTGTGCAGCATGCTTTGTCCTTTTGCGTTACGCTGGACTAGATGGGCCATTTGTCTAATTCAGGAGCAGGGATCTTCTTCCATAACCTCCAACATTTCTCTGAAGGAAATAGGGATATTCTACAGTGGTACCTCGGGTTACAGATGCTTCAGGTTACATACGCTTCAGGTTACAGACTCTGCTAACCCAGAAAAAGTACCTCAGGTTAAGAACTTTGCTTCAGGATGAGAACAGGAATTGTGCTCCGGCGGCGCAGCGGGAGGCCCCATTACCTAAAGTGGTGCTTCAGGTTAAGAACAGTTTCAGGTTAAGAACGGACCTCCAGAATGAATTAAGTACTTAAACTGAGGTACCACTGTATGTCCCAGCCAGGAGGAAACAGGAATCTTGCGACCAGCTGGTCCAAACATTCCTCCGCATGTCCACTCTAGGAAAACAAGGAATATTGTACTTGACTGCTACTTAGGTATCGCATCCCTCACAAATAGCGACAGGTGGTTATCAGTGCTGTGCAGTGAAATTTTTCATAGGGGAACAGTTATGGTTAGAGGCACCAGCTTTGGAGAGCAGTGGGAGGACCGATGTTGTGTGCATGAGCTTCATGCCTCCCTCCTTAAGCCTGGCAAAACCTTCCTGGGCTTTAGGAAGGAAGCACCAGGTCTCTAACAGGATGCTGGAGCCCTCCTGCCTCCCTCCAAGAAGCCGGGAGGGCTTTGGGAAGGTGGCGGGAGGGATCTTGGATCCCGTCAGAGCAGAGCTTTCCAAACTGTGTGTTGCGACACATTAGTGTGCCAGCTGCAGTGTGTAGGTGGGTCGTGCAAACGCTCCCCGTTCTCCTCCCAGGGCCAGAAAGGGGTTAGTTCAACTTCTGTTTTGTTAGTGAAACTGAATTATCGTGTTGCGAAATGATGGATGTCTAAAAAGTGTGTAACCAACATGAAAAGTCCGGACAGCTCTGCATCAGAGCATCGCGCCTCCCTCCCTAAGCCAAGCAAAAGCTTCCTGGGCTTTGGAAAGGAGGCTCCAGGGGAACATTTAAAAGACTAGCCTAGTCCCTCTAGTCCACTGACTGCACAGCACTGGTGGCTATCATGCTGCCTACAATATTTACAGTACTGTTGTTCCAATTATAACAGTTATGACTCACCAAAGTATCCTGGGAACTATAGTTTGTTGAGGGTGTTGAGAGTTCTTTGGAGACCCTCTGTTGTTTCCAGTGTTCCCTGGGCAGAGGGGTTGATTGTGAAGCCGCTCTGGGATTTGTAGCTTTGTAAGGGGAATAGGGGTGTCCTAACAACTCTCAGCATCCTTTGCATACTACAGTTACCAGGGTGATTTAGGGGGAAGCCAGGAGCGGCATAAAGTTAACCCCCCTTCCTTTCCCTTCCTCCTCTCCCATCACGTGCCAATAATGCCGTCTCTCCACGTATTTATTTATTTATTCCCCAGACGTTGCTTCTGGAGTTTATTAGCACCATCTGCATTTTCACATTTCCCTTGGAAGAGACATTTTGACACTGCCTCCAGGTGCGTTATTTCATTAGCAGATTCGCGCCTTGTCGTGCATTATCTCCAAGACGAGGCGCAACTTGGATGGGAGCAGCCTCAGTGGAGGAGAGGGGAACGTTTGATCCAGGGAGGCCCTTATAAAATAGGTGATCTCTCTCTCTCTCTCTCTCTCTCTCTCTCTCTCCCTCTCTCTCTCTCTCCCTCCCTCTCTCTCTCCCTCTCTCTCTCTCTCCCTCTCTCTCTCTCCCTCTCTCTCTCTCTCCCTCTCTCTCTCTCTCTCTCTCCCCTGCCAGGGAAACCAGGATATCCATGGCAGCCACAGAGAACATTTTGTCCATTCTCTCTGGTTAGGAAGGCTAGAGCTGGGACATAAGAATTCAAGAAAAGCCTGCTGGATCAGGCCAATGGCCCATCTAGTCCCGTCTCCTGTTCCCACAGGGGCCACCCAGATGCCCCAATAGGAGGCCCACAGGCAGGACCCAAGCACAAGAGCCCTTTGCCATTCTGCAGTATCTATCAACTGCCTCCAGAAGCATTCCTGCTGTTGACCCAGGAGGTAGAGCACAGCCATCAGGACTTGTAGCCATCCATAGCCTCTATGGATTTGCCTAGTCCTCTTTTCAAAAACAGTCTGAGCTGGTGACCATCACTGCCTCCTGCAGGGACAAACTGCACTTTGGTCTCCATCTCCCATCAGCCCCAGGGAGTTGTAGTCCAGACTATCTGGGTGGCTGGGGAAAGCCTTATGACCTGCCCTGGTTCCCTTGGCCTCTGCGGCACAGCTCTCCACAAGAGCCCTGCTGCTGGATCGAGCCATCTAGTCCAACATCCTCTTGTTACGGAAATTCCACTCAATATTGAACCAGAGCAGAACTCCAATGTATAGTTGGCAGAATAAAAACTTGAACATGTTGCAGGATCCCCCCAAATAGACCAGAGGCAATTGTATTTCATCCAGCAGAGCTTTACTGCTACTGAAGGCAAATGAGCATAATGGTAACAAATCCAATTATGTTCAGGATTGGCACTGTTCATAAGAAATCCAGTTGCAGCAGACTTAACTGAAACTTAAAGGTAAAGGGACCGCTGACCGTTAGGTCCAGTCGTGGCCGACTCTGGGGTTGTGGCGCTCATCTCGCTTTACTGGCTGAGGGAGCTGGCATACAGCTTCCAGGTCATGTGGCCAGCATGACTAAGCCGCTTCTGGCGAACCAGAGCAGTGCACGGAAATGGCGTTTACCTTCCTGCCAGAGCGGTACCTATTTATCTACTTGCACTTTGACGTGCTTTCGAACTGCTATATTGGCAGGAGCAGGGACCGAACAACGGGAGCTCACCCCGTTGCGGGGATTCAAACCGCTGGCCTTCTGATTGGCAAGCCCTAGGCTCTGTGGTTTAGACCACAGTGCCAACCACGTCTCAGATGATGGAATAGGGTGTCTCTATTTTCATTGAAGAAATATGGGAGGGTATGGAGTTGTCTGTTCTGATTGGCCGAAGGTTTCCAAGTTTCCAGGCCCAGAATTCTCACCTGCATGGCTGGAAACTGGACCAAACCACCTCTGTTCCATACCCTTTTCACATTTCTCCGATGAAATAGGGACGTCCCATTCCGTAATGATAATTTTACTATTTATACCTCACACATCTGACTGGGTTGCCCCAGCCACTCTGGGGGGCTTCCAACATGTATCAAAACATAATAAAACATTAAACATACAGGGTTGCCTTCAGACAGCTTGGGGGGGGGGTTGGATAGCATCATACCCTCCAACATTTCTCCAATGAAAATAGGGACAGCCTAAGGAAAAGTGGGACATTCCAGGATCAAATCAGAAACTGGGGTGGCTTTTCTAAATCAGGGGTGTCCCCTGGAGAATACGGACACTTGGAGGGTCTGCAGTTCAGTGCAAACAGAATGGAGGGGCTGTGAAAGCAGATTAGATCTGTAGCTAGCTGTGCCCTCAGAATCCATCACAAGGTTATGGGGTGTGTGTGTGTGTGTGTGTGTTTCACAAGATAATGTATAATGGTAAGAGCGGGGGGAAGAAATGCAACCCTGCAAAAATGTGTGCTCAAATGTGCAGGAGATAAATAACCAAGCAAGATCTGAAGTCTTGCTGCCCCCCTGATGCTTGCTAAGACTTTAAAAGCTACGGCCTGATCTTCAGAGCTCGGCGGTGGCCCAGCCTCCTTCCCTCGCCTTCCTCCAGGCCCTCCGGCAAGTTTTCTGGTTTCATCTCCCCTGCTGCCGATCTTTGAATGGCGATTGCTGAAGCTCGCGGATCAAAGTGGGCTGCTTTCTTTCCTTGTGTTTTTTCCCCCTTCCCTTTTTCAAATATATATCTTTTCTTCTTCTTCTTTTTTTAGAGGGGAAAAATATTCCCTGGGTAATTCCTTTTTCTCGCCACGTTTGTACTAATTTATCTTTAAACATGCCCTAACTGCGGCTAAGCAGAGAAGGAGAGGGAGAATAATGTTTTCTAATCTTTTGGCTGAAGGGTGGAAACGGGGGGGGGGGCAACGTTGAAGTTTCTGTCTGGTCTGAGAGAAAGAGAGAGAAATAAGAATTAAATGAGGTGGCTGTTTTGTTATTAATACTGTTTGTTGCATTTATGTTCCACCTCTCCCCCAAGGAGCTCAAGGTGGTGCTTCTCCCCCTACCCATTTAATCCTCAAAACAGCCCTGTGAGGTAGGTTAGGTTGAGAGGTAGTGGCTTGCACCAAGGTCCCTGCAGTAAGCTTTGTGACAGTGGGGGGGGGCAGGATTCAAACCCTGGTCTCCTAGGTCCTGGTCCGGACTCCTCATTTAATCCCTGTGGGCTGAGAGAGAGTGACTGGACCCAAGGCTGCACAGCAAGCTTCAACGCCAGCAGGGATTCGAACCCTGATGTCCCATGTCCCACTCAGATACTCTAACCGCTAGTCTCCGCAGTCTGAGAGTCCTTACCTTCCATGCCATCACCCTGGCAGAACAAGTTAGCAGTGCAACAGTTTTCCAGCTGCTCCTCTGCAGGGAGGAAGATGGGATAACGGGCCTGGCTGCAAAGCCATATCAGCTGGGTAACTGATTCCTGGAAGGGAGGGAGGGAAGAAGGAACCCTCCTGCTTCACAGTGGGTTGGACTAGATGACCTTTGGGGGGGAACCCAACTCTAAACTTCCATGATTCATCGAATAACTTGCCCTTTTCCGAAGAGTTGCGTTAGAAGCCTGTTAGTTGCTTTCCTGTTCTGGACCCCCTCCAACTGCGTTCCTTTCCCCTTGGCAGGTGACGGATGGTGGCACCATCAAACAGAAGATCTTCACCTTTGACGCGATGTTCTCCACCAACCAGTCGCACATGGAGAACTACCGTAAGAGGGAGGACCTGGTGTACCAGTCCACGGTGCGGTAAGTCACTGTCAATGTCATTTCTAGGCTGGTAATGGCGGGCAACGCCACATATCTCGCCTCCAGGCACTGAAGTCACTCCTGCTTCCTGAGGTCCAGGAAGGAAGTCTTTGCTGCGTCGGCACATTGGCCTAGTGTCTAGTTCGGTCTGCTGATGTGCCCACACTGTGCTGACCACCCCACTGCCCACTTGAGCAGCAGAGCCCAGACAGTGCCCTAGTGGCAAATTTGTGGCAGTCACAGCCATGTTCCCTCAGATCCATGCCCCCTTCTAAGATTATACGATAATTGTGCAAGTATACAATACCAATAAATAGGGTTGCATTGCAACAATCAGGGGAGATCTCCATGTGTTGCCTTTCTTTTCAATAATATTTTATTCTTCTTTCCATAAAGTTACATTTGTTACTCAGCAATTATATTCCAGTTCAACAAAACCAGTGACTCCCCGCTCACCCGTCATCAATGTTTACAACTCAAATTGCATACAGTTGCGGTTTAAGGTTCCGTTTTATCTAATTTCCTCCTCTCTAACATGTTTCTTAATATATTCTGCTGTTTTCTTACACTTCAAACCCCACTGTGGCTTTTGCATATGGTAAATAACTTTTTATATTAATTAGAAATGGTTTTCAGTCTTCTTTAAAGGATTCTAAGTGCAGTCAGTTTTGCCATCTCTGCGTATTCCAAGATTTTCATCAACCATTCTTCCTTTGAGAGTATTCTCTTTTCCTTCTATTTCTGTGCATAGGGAATCTTTGCCACTGTAGTCACATACATAAATACCCTTGAGGCTTCCTTTGGGATTTTGCTGTCTTAATATCCTCAGCAGGAAGGATTCTGGGATCTTGGGGAAAGTCACTTCAAAATGTTTCTTAATTTCATTATATCTCATGTCCGTAAAGGCCTTTGACTTCCTGCAGGCCCACCACATAGGATAGAATGACTCCTCATAGTCCTTACATTTCCAACATTTGTTTGATACATTTATGTGCATTTGAGCTAACTTCTCACAATACGGGACAGAACATACACACCATTCTCTTGAAACATGTGTTTTTGGTGTTTCCTAAATACTTAGATCATTCTTTGTCTAGCTCCTTCCCTTTGACCTTTCTGCCTTGGGTGACCCTTGGGTGACGAGATTCCCGATGGCTTCGCTCACAAGGGTCATAGGAACATGCAAGCCCACTCACCACAACAAGGTGATGATCCAGCAAGTGATCATCATCAGTGGTATGTTACAATGGCTGTGAAGGTGGATGAAGGCTGCAGCAGATAGGATCTACCGATTCGTCGTGACTACTCATGCCATCGGAACAGAGCCCTCCTGCGAAGATTGTGCATTGCTCAGCATGCACTGATCTACACACATAAAACAAATTCACGCACAGGCGTCTTCCAAAAACCCAACCCAAACCCCCAAAGTCCCATGGCGATCGGCAAATGGTGATGGGGGCAGGATCATGAAATCTGGAAGGCCCTTGTCATGAACCGGCACATGGAAACCTGCAAGCACTCCAGTTGGAGAACAGCCTTTACCAAGGTGTTATGGACTTTGAAGGCACTCAAACTCAGAACGCAAGGGAGAAATGTGCTAAGAGGAAGGCACGCTTGCCAAATCCACACCATGATCAACTCCTGCCCAGGAACCAATGTCCCCACTGTGGAAGGACGTGTGGGTCCAGAATTGGCCTCCACAGTCACTCATTGTTACAACCATGTTTATGGAAGACAATCTTACTTGGCTACTAAAGGTAAAGGTACCCCTGCCCGTACGGGCCAGTCTTGACAGACTCTGGGGTTGTGCGCCCATCTCACTCTATAGGCCGGGGGCCAGCGCTGTCCACAGACACTTCCGGGTCACGTGGCCAGCGTGACAAGCTGCATCTGGCGAGCCAGCGCAGCACACGGAATGCCATTTACCTTCCCGCTGGTAAGCGGTCCCTATTTATCTACTTGCACCCGGGGGTGCTTTCGAACTGCTAGGTCGGCTACTAGTGATTGCCAAAGAAGAAGAAGATATACATATACGTACGTGTGTGTGTGTGTGTGTGTGTGTATGCTGCCTTTCAGCCCCAAAGAGGCTCACAGGAATAAACAGATGCATGCAAATGCAGTAACACAAATACAAACAATGATACAGGGTCAAAACCTTTTAACGGCATCGAAAACCAAACATATCTGTGTTCCTGTCTAAAAGGCACAGAACATCCCTGAAATATACTCGGAGTCGAGAGTGGATTTCATGCTCTTTATTCAGCTCATAGTGGTGAGGAGGAATGGAAGTTCCCCCTGAATGTGTGCTTTAAATACATTATTTACACAATCGGCCCCATGTGATTGGCTAATTCTGGGATTCACCTGTAGGCCAATCAGGTTGCGGATTCACTTCCACCTGGAGCTGGATTGGGTGGCTCCTGTGAACCAATCAGACTGCTGCATTCTGGACCCTATTGTTCTAGGACCAATCAGACTGCTGCATTCTGAATCCTATTCAACTCAGTACATAACAATCCCCTACCAAAAAAGAAAAAAAGTTTAAGGGAAGACAAAAAACAACATTTAAGCAGAATCTTTTCCTTATAAGGGTCCCAGGCAGGGGGCGGGCGGGCAAGGCAGGTGGAAAAACTTGCCTTGATAGTTCCAGCCGACTCTCCCCTGTAGCCGACTTGCCTCCTTTCCCTCTGATTGGATCCAATCAGCACCAAAGTGTGGGAGGACTTCTTGTTCTCGGTGGTTCAGAAGCTCCACTTTGGTCCTCTCAAATGCTGGAGGCGGGGACCTTGCGGCAAAGATAGGAATGGGTCTTGACACCCTCTTTCGCTGTGACCCCAGGATGAGACACCTCTGAGGCTATGTGGGCAGCCCCAATGACCGCTTCTGTCCATTTTGCCAGGATGCTCCCTGGAGTGGCCATCATTGTTCAAGGGCAATGATGCTGCATTGGTGAAGGGCCCCCATGCTCATTTTGCATGCGTTTCAGCTCTAATTGAATTGTCACAGGCTACAGTTCTTTGCCTCTCACGGCCATTTGACCTGGCTGTTATACACCCGACAAGTGACATTAGCGTTTCGTGCATTTGATGAAGTGGACTTGAGTCCAGGAGAGCTTATGCTATAATAGATGTCTTTGTCTTTAGGGTGCTACAAACTCCACATTAGCAGGATACCTTTGGTAGGCCAACACAACCGTTTCAGAAGAGTGTGCAAACTTGGGTGAACCTTTCAACCTGCTTTGTGATGTTACTGAAACCCCTTGGATTCCTCACCCCCCCCCTCATAGGACATCACTTTTTAATGTGCTCTGATATATTTTCGCCAGACTGTACATTCTAGGACAGAGCTGAATGGAGAAGCTTCAATTTAATGAAATCCTTCCTCGAAATCTTATAGGCACTCCCCCTTGGGGTGGTTTTTGGTTTGTTTGAGGGGAAAAGCACATGTAACCCAGATGATTTATGATCCCTGATTGGCTAGGATCTGTCAGGAGTTCTCTCCCTCCTGGTTGATTTTTCGGGAGCTTCAAAAGCTTTCTTCATCCTGAACATCACAGCGACTGATGCCAACTGACACCGGCACACTTAGGGATCCGCAGAGTTTGCTCAGCATGCACGTGACACACCTCAGCAACTCAGCATTTTGGCTAATCTACTTTATTTACATATAAACACACACGGAGCACTGCAACATGGCTCCCTCTCTCTCTAGCATCAGAGAGCAAAGAGAAAAAGACCAAAGGACAATAGTCCCACTACACGGAACACAGTAACACAAACATCCTGTCTCCATCACTTCACACTCTGTGGAGTCAAAACATACACCGTGATGTGAAAGACAACAATTCTATGACTGCAATCATGGAGCAGAAATTCTAACAGGATCACCCCTGTGACCATATTGCAGTGTTGGGAAACCTGTGGCCCTCCAAGTTCCTCAGCCCTGAACTAGACCCTCACAAGACCATTACTAAGGGACACAGGTGGCGCTGTGGGTTAAGCCACAGAGCCTAGGACTTCCTGATCAGAAGGTCGGCAGTTCGAATCCCCGCGACGTGGTGAGCTCCCGTTGCTCAGTCCCTGCTCCTGCTAACCTAGCAGTTTGAAAGCACATCAAAGTGCAAGTAGAAAAAGGTACCGCTCCAACGGGAAGGAAAATGGCATTTCCGTGTGCTGCTCTGGTTTGCCAGAAGCGACTTAGTCATGCTGGCCACATGACCCGGAAGCTGTACACCGGCTCCCTTGGCCAATAAAGCGAGATGAGTGCCGCAACCCCAGAGTCGGTCACGACCGGACCTAATGGTCAGGGGTCCCTTTACCTTTAGACCATTACTGCCCCTAGCTTCCTCCATCACTGCCCTGTCTTTTTTTGAGGCAGATCTGAGAAAGTTGTGTCTCTCCAGCTGTTACTAAACTACAGCACCCATCATCATCCCTGACCACTGGCTAGGACTGATGGGTCTGGGGAGCCCAGTAACATCTGGAGAGTGACAAGTCCCCATCCCTGGACTAGATCAGTGGTTACCTTTGCTGCTTCCAGCTAACTCCATCACAACTCTGCCTTGTTTTAAAGCAGGGATGAATAACCCATGGTACCCTCCAGATGTTGCTGGACTACAACTCTCATCACTCCGATCATTGCCTATATTGGGTGGGGCTGATGGGAATTGGAGTCCATCAATATCTGGAGGACCACAAGTTCCTCATCCCTGAACTAGGCCATCACTTGCCTTTGCTCTATCTTTAATGCAGTGATGGGGACCACTGTCTATGAATTTTTGGACTAATGTGAGCTGAAGTTCATATACTTCTGGAGGGCCACTCTTTACTGCCTTAGAAAAGTATTGCTCTTATTCCAAATGGGCTTTAATGCATGGTTACCAGATTTTTTTCAATGAATCCAGGGACACTTTTTTTTTTAAAGCTGAGTAGCAACAGGGAGTCAGTAGTGGGGGTGGTGAGGCAAAAGACCCTGGGCCCAAGCACACAAGCATATTATAT